TTAAATATAAAAAAATACAAAGTCAACCTCTTTATTTACATATTTTCTCTCTCCGATCCGGTCTTCATTTTGTGTCTAGGCTTTGATGCAGTCTTTGTTTTACATCATAATGCGCCATTTTCAAATTTCATATACTTTGATTCTTCTGCTTATAATAAATGGCAAATTGTGATGCTTTTCTATCTAACCACCTACCGCATCAATAATTTGGCTTAAATTAAACGGAATATAAATAAAGTAGGAGCAGGATATTAGGCTTTCATTGGGCTAGACATAGTGTTAAAATTTAAGGCCTACATGTAATAGGGGTAGGTTTAACTTCCTAGTCTTCTGGACTTTAAAAAAATGTTCAGTATTTCAGTGAGAGGAGATGAATATTAGGTAGGTGTATATTCATTATTTATTAATATTTTATTTATTTAAATAAAAATTATAAAAAATATTAAAAAATTAAATTATTATATTTATAAATATTAAATCATATAATAAATATAAGAGTTTAAAATTATTTACACAATTTATTTATTTAATTGATATATTATTTATATTTATATAATTTAAATTATATATATTTATTATATTTAATATCTATATAATAATAATTTTTAAAAATAAAAATAAAATTAAATACAAAAAAAAATTAAAGAAAGACTTGTAAGCAAAATAAATCACACAAACAATAATAACAACTCATATAAATAATAAATTTTAAACTAAATACATAACACATGTAACAATTACAACTTATACAAGACCACTATTTTACCTCTTCTTTTCTAAAGTCAAGTATACAAATATATACTCATAAATTACTTACTATTTGTTCATTGTTATGGTTTATAAAGATGCTACAAATCAAAAGTACCTCATGCCTTTAATTAGGTTGGATTAATTATAAAAATAAGCAATATTAATTATATTCTTAATTAATTCAAGAAAACACACAACAATATATATGATTATTGCTTCGTGATCCCCCTGATTAAGTTTTTAATTGTATGAGAATGTCCAATCTTTATAATCATTTCAAGGGGCAGAGTAGATGAGTGGCAATGGAGCTAGTTAGTACTGAGATTTCGCTTGAGTTGTTAAAGTAATAAGGAAGATATACAGGGAGAAATTAATGATGAGTAGAATGGTACCTGTGTGACCAATTGATCACCATCTCACCAAAACAAACACATGCGAGTTCTTTTAGGATTAAAAATTCATTTATATATAAATTTTTTATATTATATTTATATAAAATTTTAATTATTTATTTTTTTCGTTTTACTAATTAAAATTTATTTAAT